TAAAAAAAAAAAAAAAAAAAAAAAGAGGAGAAAAAACTGCTTTACCAAAATTTGACCCACAGACTTCATAACATTACCAATCAGGAAAAAATATGAAAACATTTTTTGTTTATTTATTTATTTATTTATGCAGTGCTAAGGATACCACTGAGCTACTTTCTCAGTTGACCATTAAGGGTTTATAACCAGTCTAGGTATAAGTGTTAAAAATAAATCAGGGGGCTGGGGTTGTGGCTCAGTGGTAGCTCACTTGCCTAGCGTGCGTGAGGCACTGGGTTCGATTCTCAGCACGGCATAAAAATAAATAAAATAAAGGTCCATAAACAACTAAAAAATATCTTTTTTTAAAGAAAGAGTGAGAGAGGAGAGAGAGAGAGAGAGAGAGAGAGAGAGACACAGAATTTTTAATATTTATTTTTTAGTTCTCGGTGGACACAACATCTTTATTGGTATGTGGTGCTGAGGATCGAACCCGGGCCGCAGGCATGCCAGGCGAGCGCATTACCACTTGAGCTACATCCCCAGCCCACAACCAGTTACTTTTTTTTTTTTTTTTAAAGAGAGAGGAGAGAGAGAGAGAGAGAGAGAGAGAGAGACACAGAATTTTTAATATTTATTTTTTAGTTCTCGGTGGACACAACATCTTTATTGGTATGTGGTGCTGAGGATCGAACCCGGGCCGCATGCATGCCAGGCGAGCGCACTACCACTTGAGCTACATCCCCAGCCCACTAAAAAATATTTTAAAAAAATAAATCAGGGCTGGAGTTGTGGCTCAGTGCTAGAATGTTTTCCTGGCATGTGTCAGGCCCTGGGTTTGATCCTCGGCACCACATATAAATAAATAAAATAAAAAATCCGTTGACAACTAAAAAAATATTTAAAATAAATAAATCAGGGCTGGGATGTAGCTCTGTGGTAGGGTGCTTTTCTTGTTCGGGTGAGGCTCTGAGTTCAATCCCCAGCACCACAATAAATAAATTAGATGAACATAAGTGGAGTAAACATTTATAAATAATCTTTTTATATAATGTAAAATCTTTTTTTTTTTTTTGGTGGGGGGGAATACCAAGGATTGAACTCAGGAGCACTTGACCATTGAGCCATATTCCTAACCCTATTTTGTATTTTTATTAGAGACAGGGTCTCACTGAGTTGCTTAGCGCCTTGCTAAATTGCTGAGGCTGGCTTTGAACTGGAAATCCTCCTGCCTCTGCCTACCAAGCCACTGGGATTACAGGCATGCACTACTGCACCCGGCTAATATGAAATCTTAATGTTATCTAAAAATGAAAAAATAGATACTCATAAAATGTCTGAGTGATTTCCAAGTAAAATATTGAACATTTTATTTGACAGCGATGCCTCCTGAACAGACATAAACATAAATTTACTTTTGATTTCTTTTTATTCAGACAAAATACACCTGTATCTCTTAGCAAATATGTCCTGTTCCATCCTGGAAAATTCAATGAGGAAGCACACATTTCAAGAAATAAAATATTCCCAAAATGTTCCTATATGAGGTACAGTTCAAAATTTGCTTCCAACCTAGGTTTTCACCAGAAATAAGGTTACTGTGTTAAAAAATTCTAGAATTAATATATGTAGTTCTATATTCAAAGTATAATAGAAAATTAAGATTTTTTGATGATAAAAATTATAAAACGGCATTAAAGAGAATATTGCCTTATTCTTTTTTTTTTTTTTTTMCAAAATGTGGATTTAGAAAGAAAGTAAGAATAAAACAGAAAGGAACTAGTAAGTAGGAGAAAGATGCAAAGGAAGACACAGATATGCAGATGTACTTTTTGGTAAGAACATTAAAAAGAAAATTATTTTTGTATTAGAATTTTGCGTGGTCTTGGTGATTAGGGAATAAGAATACAATTTTGTCTTAAGGTACAATGATTCTAGTTTAAAAAACAAAGAAATGGGACAACACCGAAGGCTTAACCAAGTGATAAAGCTTGGAGCAAGTCCTAAAGGTCAGAGGAAGCTGCAAAAGGTTTATGAAAGATGAATCTGGGGACTGACTCCAGGGCCTGTGCCTGCTAAGCACACACTTGACCATGAGCCACATACCTGGTCCTTGAGAGGTTTTTAACAGTCTACCCTGAGAGTACTATGTCATCAGTCACTATTATTATTGCACTTATGTAATCGATCAGGCCAAAATTGATGAAACTAAACTTATTTCACAAATTCATTGTTTCTAAAGAAAAACTACAGCACACCTGTTATTAGATTGTAACCCCATTCATTGTTTTAAATTTTTTTTATTTACACCTTACTGGACAGAACCCTAAATTTTTCTACATTTCCTCTAATATCTGGTAATGACAAGTCTCACTTCTCCCTACAGTCTTTTATTTAGGCGACTCCCCTTGGTTTTTTTTTTTTTTTTTTGGTACCAGGGACTGAACCCAGGGTTACTTAACCACCGAGCCACATCCCAGCCCTTTTTAAAAATATTTTATTTAGAGGCAGGGTCTTGCTAAATTGCTGAGGCTGTCTTTGAACTTGTGATCCTCCTGCCTCAGTCTCTCGAGCTGCTGGGATCACAGGCATGCACCACCATGCCCAGGACATCTATCCTCAGTCTTCAGCCCTTGGTTCAGAACTATTATACAAATTGTAGGAGTTCTGTGTCTGAGATCAGTGACTTAAAGAAATAAGATGGTTTCTCTGTATGCTGACTTATGATGGCCCAGATGTGGTTCCAACTAAAGACAGAATTACTGCCATTTTTCTCCATAGGACAATAATATATAGAATGGATTGACACAATTACACACACAATTATATACTGTCATGAAAGATACAACACACTCTTACACAAACTGTTCTAGGTAAGAGCTCCAAGAGTGCTTTGAATCACAAGCTGGGGTGGGGGTGGGTTAGTGGCAGCTGTGCTTTCCAGATGCCACCACCCACACTGCTACCTCACTGGGAGCAGAAAAAGAATTATTTTTTTAAATTTTTCATGTGGCACTAGGGAGTAAACCCAGGGCCTTGCACATGCTAGGCCCATGCAAATGCTCTACCACTGAGCTATACTGCTCGCCCAAAAAAGAGAATCTTGGTAACAAGTGAGCTAAATGAAAAAAATAGGAGATAGAACCTATCACCATGAGCCTCTTTCCCTGTGTAGCTCTTATTTTTCTTGCTCTTCTCAATTGCCTGGGATGAGCCAATTTTAACTGATATTGAGGTTAATACTAGTGCAATCCTCCTCTAAAGTTCCTTTTTTTGGTGGTGTGGGGATTGAACCCAGGGCTCACACACACTAAGCATGTGCTCTACCACCCAGTTACATCCCCAGCCGTGAGATTAGTTTCTTATTAGCTATTTCATGACTGAAAACAGATATTCTGAACTCCAGAGAGAACCCCCAACTGGATCACACAAGAGGCCGGAAGAGAAAGCAGCAAGCCAGAGAGGAAAAGCCAGTCTTCTTCAGCCAGAGGAAATAGCTTGTCACAGATGCTTAGGGTTTCCTCACCATGGCTAAGGGCTCTCTATGGGAAAATAAGGGTTGGGCCCTGCGGGGCTTCACCTAGAGGTGCGTGCAGTGTGTCCATGAGGTTGCTGGCTCTGTGTTGTGCTTTGTCTGACGGAACTGTACATAACTGTGACTCAGACAGCAACTCCACTGTCCAGTTCACACAAAGGCACATCGAGATGAAGGTGATGCAGCAGAGACCACAAAGCACCCACTGTGAGGTTCCTAAAGAACATCTCCGATCTCCTCCTTCCCAGCTGCCTGCCGGGAGAGTTCACTCTGCCCCTTGGCTGTGGGAGGCCCCTTCTCTCTCCTCTTGGCAGCTGGTTCTCCGACCCCAGGTTCTCCCACAGCTTGCCAAGCAACATAATACATTCTCCAAACTATTGCTTTATATTGATATGACTGGTTCATAAACATAAACCATCAGGATTGAGTTATTAATTCAAATTTTGTGATTTTCTGTTTTTTTTTTTTTTAGTGTCAGGGATGTAACTCAGGGACTCGTGCATGCCAGGCAAGTGCTCTACTCTACCACTGAGCCAGATCCCCGGGGCCCAATTCAAATTCTGACCTAGTGTCAGAGTCAGTAGCTTTTAGTAACAGAAGAAAAACCAGGACAGAAAGTGCTTCACCAGCCATTTTACTCTTCTTTAATTCTACTATCTTTGGGCACACATCATACTTGCTATCAAAACTTGAGACAGCAAGGCTGATAGCACTGATTCACAACATTCTTTGCATCATACAGAGAGTAAACGGATTAACAGGATCACCTGCTACCAGCACAGAGCTGCCTCATTTGCTGTAGAAGAGAACTGCTGGGGGACGAAGGGAAAAATGAGGAGCAGAGGAGGCATCTGGGGCAAATGAACTTACAAGTGTGCGTAAAAATTAGCAATTTGGTGGAAAATCCAGAATTTACTTAAGGATGACAGGGAATCATTGAGCAACAGTTCCATTATTTCCAGAAATTGCTGAATTTGGAACCTGAGGTTAAGACTTTCAAGGACAAAGCATAAGTTCAGACTGGCCTTGGGAAGAAATGGCCACCACAGATGGTAATGAGTTTCAGTGCCTGAGGACAAAAAATCGTCAAAACCAACCTACACATCTGATGTGACTCAAAGTAGGGGGAACCCATCTTTTTAAAAAAATTAAAGTCTGCATCAAGAGTCTGAAAGTGAAAGCTTAAGCCCCCTTTCCACCTTTCCATTTTGTGGCTGGTACCTGCTCTCCTCACAGTACCTCCTAAAAATTTTCAGAATTCAATTAATACAGATTTATTAGGCTGATTTATGTAGTTTAAGATGAAAGTTCTGTTCGGCTGAAACCACTTCATTTAACCTTATGGTAATGGTAGTCCTGAGAGTTCGCAGTGTTGGTAAAGTCTCCTGTGACCAAGGGTCAAACTGCTGGTGGAGCTCAGCAACTTCTTGGCCCATCACATTTCCTTGTCCTTGTCCCTCAAATTTGGTAGTTTTTGCACCGAGGGACACAGTTCACCACAATGAAAATGTTAAAAAACCGTTTTCTGTAGGTACCTCCTTCCAATGTCCAATAGTGCAGGTGGTCAGGAAAACTTGGAAGGAAGCTGTGGAAGTCCAGCTGGGAATCTTGACTTCATTAGATGTGGACACAGGAAAGTCATCTTTGTCCTCCCCAGATTTTATCATAGTCAAAGGAGAAACATCCATGGGATTCTAATTGCAGATATGCTAGATATAAAATTGATGGAATGCTAACTGGTCCATAAAGGGCTGTACAAGATAATCTGTGGCAAAGTAAAAAACAAGCCCAAAGGTGATGGAGATGGGAAGAGCTGGCAATGCTTTCTTGAAAATGGCGAGGAGTAATAACGTAAGGCACAGGCCCTGCGAAGGAGACAGAAAAGACACACGCTCACACATGACTCTGGAGACATTTTCACGCACAACAACTCAATAACAAGTCTTGGTTAACTGAATACTTCCCTTTGGGGTTAAATTTTAGCACCAATGTTTCATCAAATCTGGAAAAAGAGCCATGAAAAAACAAAAAATGTCTCTCCCTCCCTCCCACCTTCCTTTCTTTCTGAATTGGAGATTGAACTCAGGGCATGCTCTACCAAAAATGTAGTTTCTTGATAAAAGGAAAATATATTCCTTGTTTCTTTGTTGTACAGAGTTCATTGTGCACACAGCATTGATAGTTTATTCCCTAATTCCAGGAAAAGAACAGAATCTGAGATGGTGCATGCCTGTAATCTCAGCAATTTAGGAAGTTGAGATAGGAGGATCTTAAGTTTGAGGACAGCCTCAGCAACTCAGTGAGGCCCTAAGCAACTTAGTAAGAGCCTGCCTCAAAATAAAAAAATAAAAAGCAGTCAGAATGTAGCTCATTGGTGCCCTGGGGTTAAATCCCCAGAACAAAAAAAAAAAAAAAAAAGAAAGAAAGAAAAAAGATCTGAAAAATAAGTAAAACTTATTTTGAGAAAAACTGAAATTTCTATATAAAATATCAAAAAGGCCTATGTGATTTTAATTTGGCTGGTTAAAATCCCAGAGGCAAAGAGCATTCCTTATGCTATGAGGGGACAAAGAGATGCTCAAAGAACCAACTGATGATGAAAACCAGCATGAGTGGTGTGGCGCTTTCTTGTAAATACAGCAGCTTAAACATATGGTTCATTTTTTACCCTGGTTACCGAGACTCTGCCTACAAAGCCTGGAGACTGGGCATCATTTCAGTTTATTCAGAATAAGTAATTTCATCTTAAAAGATGGCCAGGGGTACAGCTCAGCGGTGAAGTATGTGCTTAGCATGTACAAGATCCTGGCTTTGGTCCCCAGCACTCCCTCTGCAAAAAGATATATAGCCAATAAATACTTTCAAAGTCAGAAAACTATCCTCAAAAGAGAAATAAAATGTGTGAAAATTCTAACTGGTTATAGCATAAACAAAAAATGTATTATAAAATAAAACATAAAGGCTTTCACCTAAACTTTCATCTAATTTCACTTACATACTATGTATCTATAGTATCACAACAAGAATAAAAAAAGCAATAAGAAATATTTTATGGGCTATTTACTTAAACCACAGTCTTGACAGCCTTGGGGACCCACTGCTGTGGTACCCTAAGCAAGCTCAACCTGACTCCATGGAGTGGTCTGGCTTAAGACTCTTGCTTTGCACCTGTTGCCCACAGTAACACTGCACACTGCAGCTTGTGTCATTCAATGCAGAACAGCCAACTCCTTGGTGACTAGTTCAGGGACTAGAGGCTCTGCCGGACCCTTAACACTGAACTTGAGCAGAGCACATTTCACACTTAGCTATGCTGAGCTCAGTGTGGGGACTCCTAATCAGAAGTGCTCAGAATTTCCTGGAGAACTTTTTAAAACAACACAATGAAAACAAATTAAATGAGATATTTCAGGGCAGAGTTCAGTTTTAAAAGCTCCCAGGTAATTTTAATGTGTGGCCAGAGTGGAGTGTTATTCGGGTGAGGTCCAAATATCTTGTGTTTAGAAAAAGCTTCTGGAGTGACTGGCACTCTTGGCCCACATGGGGTTAAAAGCGAATTGTCTTCAAGGGATTCAGAACTAGAAAGTCTGACATTAGGAGCACTGACATATTTTTATTAGTGTATACTTACAATTAATATGGCTACAAAACAGGCTATGGTAGTGTTCCAGTCTCCACTGGCGGTTGCTGAGGCTTTACCAACCAGAACACTGTAGAAAATGAAATCTCCCAGTCCAAGTTTTACTCCCCCTAAAAAGGAAAGATTACAAATGTAACAAAGTTTGTCCTTCTTTGCTATGACTTCAGAATTTAAAAACAGGGTCCTGAGCTGGGCACAGTGGCATACAACTGTAGTCCCCAGCTCCTCGGGAGGCAGAGGTGAGAGGATTGCTTGAACCCAGGAGTTCAAGAGCAGCTTGGACAGCACAGTGGGACTGTCTCAAAAACCAAACAAACAACAAAAAATATAACCCTGTACTGAATGAAAAGTCAATAGATGACAGACAAAACTTTAGTTTTCACTAGGTTTTCTTTCTTTCTACAACAGGAGTTTCAGATTCTACGTCAATGACTCTGGAGTCTCAACAGACACTGCAATTACAACCATCATCAACCATAATTGTCATCTATTGAATACCTAGTTAATACTCAGCACTTCTACTAATAAAGCCTCATAAGAACCCCTGAACAGCTTGATCAAGGTATCTTACAAAATCCTATCTTATGAAATCCACCCACTGTAAGAGTGTAATTCAATGAGAGTGAAAAATATATAGAGTTGGCAACCATCTTCACAGTCCACACTTCATCCCCCCATAAGATACTTTTAACCCATTTATAGTTAATATCCTATTATCTACTTTTTTTTTTTAAAGAGAGAGTGAGAGAGGGAGAGAGAGAAAGAGAGAATTTTTAATATTTATTTATTTTTTAGTTCTCGGCGGACACAACATCTTTGTTGGTATGTGGTGCTGAGAATCGATCCCGGGCCGCACGCATGCCAGGCGAGCACGCTACCGTCTGAGCCACATTCCCAGCCCCCTCTTATCTACTTTTTACCTCTGTAAATTTGTCTTCTCTAGAGATTTCATATAAATAGAACCCATACCCATAAACGAAGTCATGGCTGGCTGGCCTTTTTCACTTAGCATTTTTGGGGTTTATCCATGATACTGCACATATCTGTAGTTTTTATCTTCTCTCTATATCTGATCTCTATCCACAGCCAATTGGTTCCTTTTTACTGCTAAATAGTCTCCATTGTATATTACACTTTGTTTATTCATTGACTAGTTCAATGCACATCTGGACAGTTAGTTTTGGGCTACTATGAACCATGCTATGAACATCTGTATACTTGTCTCTGTGGACACAGGTAGTTTTCATTTTTCATTGGGTAGATTTCTAGGAAGAGTTGCTGGGTTATATGGTAAATTTAGGTTTAGCTTTTCAATGAACTGCCAAACTGTTTTCTACTCTAGCTATCAGCTTACAATCCTACTGGCAAAGCACAAGAGCTTTAGTTTTATTACATCCTCACCAATGCTTGCTATTAGTCTTTTTGATCACAGTCCTCCCAATGAATGATGCTGAGTATCTTTTTATGCACTTAGTAGTCACTATATTTCTCCTCTGGTAAACGGTCTATTATTTATTTTATTTTATTTATTTTGCAGTGTTGGGGACTGGACTTAGGGGCTTTGTGCATCCTAAATAAGAACTACACCATTGAGTGACATCTCCAGCCTTTGTGAAAGGTCTATTCAGAGCATTTCTCCATTTTAATTTGGGTTATTATTTTATCATTCAATTCTAAGCATCTGATTCCTCTTCAGTTCTCAAATTCCTCAGCTCTTAGATGGGAATTCATAAGGCTGCTATCAGAGTTAAAAATAGTACGGGAAAACTTCTTGGCATATATAGGGACTTAAACAAATGCTAGCTTTAGACTTTGGATTTCAAATGTTAAGTGCTATAAGAAACTAACTTGTAGAAGCTGAAATAAAGAAAACCTACAAAATGTCAGAATATAGGGGGAAAATTTTTGTAAATAACTTATCTGATAAGTATATTTCTGAAGAACTTATATGATAAGTATTTGTATCTAGAGTATATAAAGAATGATTACACTCAATACTAAAAAGACAAAACAATGAGCAAAGGATCTGAATGGCTAGTTCTTCAAGGAAAATGTACACGAGGTCAAAAAGCACAGGAAAAAAACACTTAACATCATTAACTATCAGGAAAATGCAAATTAGAACTGCACTGGGAGACCACTTTACACCCACTAGAGTAGTTACAATCAGAATTTGGCCTATTAACTATTTCCCACTAAAAGCCACAGTGTGGTTTAGAGTGATGGTCATGCTCTCAATTCATTTTATTCTTGAGAGGTTGATAATGCAGCCACCTAAAAAATCCATGACTCTGCAACATAGAGAAGTGCACATACTTTCCTCTGGATCTTCACTGGCTAGGATGCTGCTGGACAGTTCCTGGACAGCAGCTCGTGACTCCGCGGTAGAGCGATGAGGCCCTAGATGACTATCTCTCTGGGCTTCCCACTCCTCGCTGAAGCCACCATCATCAGTATCTGCAGTATTGTCCTGTGACTCCCTTTCTGTGCCTTCAAGAGAAAGTGGAAATTACAGCTCTGATAGTTAGAAAAATTTCTTCATATATTTAAGAAAATTACATGGAAAAAATAATAACCTGTCATGATTACAAGGTTCTTTTTTATCCCTTTTTTAAAATTTTAATGTTTTTATATATATGACAGCAGAATGCATTGTAATTCATATTACACAAATAGAGCACAATTTTTCATATCTCTGGTTGTACATAGATTCACACCACTTGTGTCTTCATACATATACTAAGGGTAATGATGTCCATCTCATTCCACCATCTTTCCTACCCTCAAGCCCCCTTTCTTACCCTCCCTCCTCTTTTCCCCTTTGTTTAGAGTTCATCTAATCCTCCCATGCCCCACCCCACCACATTATGAATCAGCATCCTTAAATCAGAGAAAACATTAGACATTTGGGTTTTGGGGATTGGCTAATTTCACATAACATTATATACCTGCAAACGCCATGATTTTATTCTCTTTTAATGCTGAATAATATTCCATTGTGTATATAAATCACATTCTCTTTAACTATTCTTTTACTGAAGGGCATCTAGGTTGGTTCCACAGTTTAGCTATTGTGAATTGTGCTGCTATAAACATTGATGTGGCTGTGTCCCTGTAGTATGCTATTCTTAAGTCCTTTGGTTATAGACTGAAGAGAGGAACAGCTGGGTCAAATGGTGGTTCCATTCCCAGTTTTCCAAGGATTCTCCATACTGCTTTCCATATTGGTTGCACCAGTTTGCAGACTAACACAGCTTAAGCTCATCCAAGAGTCATCTCCCCGTTATTTCCTGAGGGCAGAGTCCTAGTTTGCTTGGGTTTCCACCCCTTGCCCACATGACTCTGGTGGCAAACTGTTCAAGCCATGCCAAGCATGGCAATCCCATCATTCCTCTTCCCAATGACAGTTCAAAGGCTGAAGGGTTGTGACTTGGTACTAGCCAGAGAAGCAAAGTCTGCTAGGAAATTTGAAGAAATTTTTCTGGCTCCTTCCTCTTTTAAAGGAAGAAACAGTCTCTTTCTTTCCATGTATGTTACCTAATCTGGACATGATGTCTGTAACTGTAATTGTCATGACCATAAGTGGGCTGAGACCACTCCATACATTAAAGATGGCAGAGGAAGAAGAAAGAACCTGGGCCCTTTTTAATATCAATAAACTGCCAGCTTAACCAACACTACAGATCCCTATGCCTCAGGACTTTCTATCATATGAAAGAATGCATTTCTTGTTGAAACTTCTGACATGATGGCACTCACCACTGGTTTTAATGACTATATTATAAAAGTGGATTCATGGTGGGTAGTTGGGAATTTCTTTATGGGCCAGTCATTTTGTTATAAATGGCCCATTACAACAAAATGGTGAGCTGACTTAAAATGGTGAGCATGACAGTTTTGAGAAACTTATACACATTAAAAAATAATTAAAATAGGGGCTGGGGTGTGGCTCAGTGGTAGAATGCTCACCTAGCATGTGCGAGGCCCTGGGTTCGATCCTCAGGACCACATAAAAAATAAATAAATAAAGACATTGACAACTAAAAAATTTTTTTTTAATTTAAAAAATAATTAAAATCTATAAGTGAAGTTCATAATACATTTTTTCCTCTTCCTCTCTCATTCTTTCAATGCTAGTCTTGTACATGTTAGACAAGTATTCTACCATTGAGCTATGTCCCCAGTACCTTTAAAGTTTATTTTGATCTGGGTACAGGGGCTCACGCCTATAATTCCAGTGGTTCAGGATGCTGAGGCAGGAGGATCACAAGTTTAAAGCTAGCCTTAGCAATATAGCAAGGCCCTGAGCAATTTGAGAAGACCCTATCTTGAAGTAAAAAAATTTAAAAGGGCTGGGCAGGTGGCTTAATGGTTAAACATCCTTGGGTTAAATCCCTAGTACCAAAAAGACTAAAAATATTTTGAGATACTATTTTGTTAAATTGTCCAGGCTGGCCTTGAACTTGCAATCCTCCTATTTTAGCCTCCCAAGTAACTGGGATTACAAAGAGAGTTTAGTGTTTTGTTTTTTTTAAAAATCATAGCTATACCTTTCTAACCTGGTATTATATATTTAATGGAAAATCTTTTTGTTGTTCTTCTTCTTTTTAGTTACACATGACAGTAGAATGTATTTTGACATCATACTTACATGAAGTATAACTTCCCATTTTTGTGGTTGTACATGTGGATTTACACTGGTTGTGTATTCATATACAAACATAGGAAAGATTTGTTCGATTCATTCTACTGTCTTTCCCATTCACATCTCCTTCCCTTCCCTGTACTCTGCCCTATAGATCTGCTACCATCCCTAGGGGATCTGGTAATATCCCCTGTCCCCCACCATGTGAGTCAGCATCCACATATCAGAGAGAACATTCAGCCTTTGTTTTTTGGGATTGGCTTATTTCACTTAACCTGATATTCTCCAGTTTCATCCATACACTGGCAAATGCCATAATTTCATTCTTCTTTATGGCACATTTTCTTTATCCATTCATCTGCTGAAGGGCACCTTAGGTTGGTTCCATAGCTTAGCTATTGTGAATTGAGCTGCTATAAACACTGATGTGGCTGCATTGCTACAGTATGCTAATTTTAAGTTATTTGGGTATATACCAAGGAGTGGGATAACTGGATCACATGGTAGTTCCATTCCAAGTTTTCTGAGGAATCTCCATACTGCTTTCCAGAGTGTTTGCACCAATTTGCAGTCACACCAACAATGTATGAGTGTACCTTTCTCCCCACATGCTTGCCAACATTTATTGTTACTTGTAGTCTTGATAATTGTTTAATGCAGAATCTTAACCTAGGATGCCTTGATTGGATGGTTGGGTTTGGGGTATGTGGAATCCTTTAGTATTCATCTGTGTATTTACTGAGGTTGACTACAGCTTTTTCAGGAGATTCTCAAAGGAATCTATGACCAAAGAAAAGAAGTTAAAACCAATGCTTTTATAACTCACTCTTAGCCTATGAGATGACAATGACCCCACAAAACTAGGATATTCCCAAATAAAAGTCACCTACTTTGTGTGTTATACTTGGAATGTTTGGACACTCTTCTTTGGGCTTCTGGGTCTCCTTCAGCCATATTCACCAACCACATCATTGTTGCTATTTGTTGAGAAAAATAAAATTCCAGGTGAGAAGTAGAAATTATATGAACAATTAGCAAGCTATTTTCTCCACACAAGCCACCAATCTTTATAATGCTGCTTTAAGTATCCTTAACAATCAGAAGTAAATTTTAAAAACCACAAAATAATCTCTTTGGTTTTAACAGATTAAAAACAAACAAAAAAACTTTGAAACTGAACTGTAGTGTTGACCCTGCACAGCAGCTAGTGTCACCAAACTGTCCATCAGCATTTGTTACTCCCCGAAAAGCCACAAGGAATTCTAATTCTGTTCAGGCCAGCAAGACACACTGAAGTGATGGCTACACTGGGTGAATGTCCTAAGAGAACATGAACATATTGATGAAAACCACTTAAATTCAAGGCAGACAGGCTCATAAAAACATCATGTGATGATTATAATTCTAAAGATATAGGGAATAAATTTTCTTCACATTACATTTCACTTTATTTTCAATAATTCTAAACTATACATGTAAGAAAAATAAAAAGTTAAACTTAATAAACATAAAGGGGATAGTCATTTGGCTTCTTTTATGTGCCTTGTACAGAAATAATCAGCACACCTGTACAGATTAGGTATATATCCCTCTCAATCACATTTTAATTAAAGACAAGGTGAATACTTTAAAATGGTGCTTCTCTTTGATACTGTGCAGGCAGAATGAAAAATGGTATAACTTCCACTGGTGAGGAATTTGGTAACATCTAACAAAACTACACGTACATTAACCTTTGACCCAGTAATATCACTTCTGGGAGTTTATCCTGAAGATATATCAATAATAATATAAAAATATTAACAAATGTGCCACACAGGGCTACAGTGGGAAATGAATGCCAACATTAATCTGAGACCCGTCTGGTTATAGGAAGAGATTTTAAACAAGATACTTGATAACTATGTGTATCTGGCTTTTTCTCCCCATGGTTCTATAACTTCATCCATGTTCCTAATGCTCTTAGGCTTTTGCATAAAAGAAATTCACGACCAAAGAGGCTGAAAATTCCATAGAAAGTGCATACTTTCTCATTCATCATGGTTTTGTAATTTCTGAGACCAAATGAGCTTCATTATACTGTAATCCAGATTCTAAGAAGAGAAACAGGATGTGGCTCAGTGGTAGAGTGCTTGCCTGCTATGTATGAGGCCCTGGGTCCCATCCCAACACTGCAAAAACAAAACAAAACTAAGAAGAAACAGAAGGGTGACTGCCATGTATATGTTTTGGATTTTTACAGCCTTTTTTTTTTTTTGGCAAAGCAGCAGGTATTTATTTGATATGAAAGGAAAGCTTTATGCAAAATGACCTAACTCAGGAAATGTGGCTTCACATTTAGATAAGCTACCAGAGTGGACCACCTCTGTGAATGGCAGGAAGGAAGCAGTAGTTGGTTCAAAAGGTAAGTACACATTTGTCCTGTCTGGTGACAGAAATAAAAAAGACAACAAATCTTGTTCACTCATTTCTTTAGGGTAAGAGCTTTTTGCAAACTGAATACCTTTACTGGGAGAGAATTAAAATGCATAAAAGGATTGTATTTTTAAAGAACAGACAAGAAGATTGTCTTTCAATATGCACGTTTATGTCTGCTCCAGGGAAAAGTATTAGTAAGTGTTGCAGTTTTCTTAGAGTTTGGTTTAAAAACAACAAAACAGGGGGCTGGGGATATAGCTCCGTTAGTAGAGGGCTTGCCTTCCATGCACAAGGCCCTGGGTTCAATCCCCAGCACCACCAAAACAACAACAACAACAACAACAAAAAACTCCTCACCATAGATTCCTGCTGCCTAGGTCACTATCTAGATCCACCTCCTATTTCTGAACTCAGAGTAATTTCTACCTGCTTTGTTGAGAGCTTTTCTCTAAGAATTATTCCTTCTTCCAAGTCTCTACTGACTTCTTCCTGTCAGCTTTAGAAAAACGATTAAATCTTTCTTCTCCTGGAAACACCTTTACTCAACTGCTCTCCTCTTGACTCATCACAGGAAGCTTTGAAGAAGGAGGTGATATTGACTACACCTCTCCTTCTTCACCACCTATTCTCTGTCCACGCCAGCACATCTATTGCCAGCACCAGCAAAACCAAGATGCATGCACACACACATTTTTCTTCCATTTTGAACACTATCCCCAGCCCAGAAGGATCACAAGTTTAAGGTGCCACAGCACCTTAGTGAGGCCCTGTCTCAAAATAAAAAATAAAAAGGGCTGGAGATGAGGCTCAGTGGTAGATACCCGGGGCTCAAACCCCAGTACAAACAAAACAAAACAAAACAAAACAAAACAAACAAAAACACTAGGTTTCTCAACTTTTAAACATTCTCTTCTGTCTCCTTTCATATTCTTGCTTCATTTTCTTATTCTCTAAACACAGTAGTTGACAAAGTTCTACCCTTGGCATTCTTTTTCTCTTCTATTTGTTTTTGAACTACTCACTCATTCCAGATTTCTCTCTCTCTCTCTCTCTCTTTTGGTGTGGGAGGGGAGGTGGGAGTACCAGAGATTGAACTCAGAGGGCACTCAACCATGGAACCACATCCCTAGCCCTATTTTGTATTTTATTTAGAGACAGGGTCTCACTAAGTTGCTTAGCACCTCGCTTTTGCTGAGGATGGCTTTGAATTCACAATTCTCCTGCCTCAGCCTCCTGAGCTGCTGGGATTACAGATGTACACCACCGCACCTGGCCCAGAACTTAACTATTACCTCCACAATGATTCTTCAACTCTGCATCTCCAATATCAACTATTCCCCAAGTGAATTTTATTTCTGAACTCCTACTGAAAATTTCTATCTGAACGACCCACAAGTCCCACAGACTAAATTAGACATGGGCCAGAGAAGAGACTAAGTAGATCCCTCAAACAAGAAAATCATTTCTTCTGCATTGCCTGTCCTTCATGCTTCACATTTCTCTCCTTAGTTGCTAAGGACCAACGATTCTCCCTTGAAGCCTTTCACCAAGTCTCTCCCTTGATGGCCATTGCCAATAGCTTAATGCAGGTGTGCAGTACCCATCAGGATGATATCCTCTCAGTGATGCTTCCTAAGCATCCTGTTATCTCAGTATGCACCCTGCGATTCATCTCACACAATGCTGCCAGCTTACAGTCACAGCTCTGATCACACTACTCTTCCGCACACTTTCTATGATTTCCCAGTGATCACCTACTAGCACACAGGTATCTAGTCACTATGTTTTTTCTTTCTTTTTAAAATATTTTTTCTAGTTATCAATGGATTTTTATTTTATTTATTTATATGTGGTGCTGAGAATTGAACCCAGTGCCTCACACATGCTAGGCAAGTGCTCTACCACTGAGCTACAACCCCAGACCTCTCATCTGTGTTTTTAAATTCATCTAGTACTCTCCTTCATCAATATGATTGAATTAATAAGGACAGTATGACTCTAAAATAAAACAAAAACTTAAAAAAGCAACATATTTGGAAGGAACAGTAATTTTTTTTGAATTAACTAGAGCAAGATTAACCTGTAATATATGTACTTACTGCTAATTTTTGATTAACAAGATTTCAAACAGAAAAAATGGCTCCCTGATCTCTAAATATTTCCTCTTTCAACCTTTATTAAAAATTCTTAAACCATGGGAATGCAGCAGACAATAATTTGCAAGAAAACAGGAGATCTGCAGGACTTCCATTAACAATAGTTATATATTTAAGAAGAGAAAAAGCATCATGATAATGATCATAATCATACACATTTGACTTCCATCATTTCTAAGCTGATTACAAATTCAACATCATTCTAAAATACTTACAGGAATAAATAAGAGCTGGAAAGAGAGTCTCATTTCTCTCTTGAGCCGTTTCAACCAGCATACGAAGTGGACCTTTTGGGCACAAAACAGCCACTAAATCTAGAAAGAGGAAAATTAAAAAGCATGCAATAAGATTTATTGGCTAAATGTTTAAATGGGTTTAGGGAGGAACTAACCAAGGGAAAAGGCTTAGCATTTTTTATTTTAATATAAAAAAATGTTGAGTGAATATTTAAAAATTGGCAGGTCAACTGGAAGAAAAAAACAACCTAAACAAAATTTTAAAAAACCACAGAAGATCTGTGAAAACTGCTTTTTGGGTTTGACTGCTATTTACTTAGTCTTCAGTGTGTATCACCACTGGGTTTTAGAAAAAGTCTTCTTAGTTTGAAGGAACGAGGCAGAAATAGGAAGAACTATTCTAGAGCAGCTAACAATCAAACTACAACAAGCAGAAATGGGATAAGTCATTTCAAACAAAGTTAAGAATAAAAGCTTTACTCAAGATATTGAACTTTTCAAAATATGAAGAGTACAATAGAAAAGATCCATCCTTTGTCTATATTAAAAACAGTATAGGGGGGCTGGAGATGTGGCTCAGCGGTAGCGCGCTCGCCTGGCATGCGTGCGGCCCGGGTTCGATCCTCAGCACCACATACCAACAAAGATGTTGTGTCCGCCGAGAACTAAAAAATAAATATTAAAAATTCTCTCTCTCTCTCTCTCTCACTCTCTTTAAAAAAAAAAAAAAACAGTATAGGGCTGGGGGTGTGGCTCAGCCATAAAAGTATCTGCCTAGCGTGGGCAAGGCCCAGGGTTCCACATTCCCAGCACCATGAAAACCAAATATATGTACTACTTAAGTATACTTGAAATAAGAGGGCAGTAAATTTAAATAAAACAAATAATTAATAACTCTTTGTAAAAAAAAGTTTAGTATTTCTTTAGTTTCTAATCAAATATAAGCACCTCACAAATATTCATGTCAGAACATATGTAGTGCTGAAAACTGGATTATTTCATTAAAAAAATTAGCAAATCAGAGAAGCAGCAACATGCTTAAAATATTTTTAATTCTACCACAATTTCCTTCTATCAACTGCAATTTTTCTTAGATTTTCTGTCATGAAAATTTGGAATATTGAAATATAGAAAATTTCTAATAATAATTTAAGAATGTAAAATGGGTATAGCTAAATTAATAAAGAAAGACTTGATGAGTTATTTTGACATTACTAGTGTTTAGATGCATTTAACTAAAAAAAAAATCCTCAAATCTCCAAGTGGTTGTATCTTTATAAAATAATAATTAATGATGATATAATAAAATCAAGAAGAACATAGTAATAACAGAGAGAGAGAGAGAGAGAGAGACAGAGAGAGAGAAACCTCCATCCTCACTACTTCTATTCCGTTTGCTTGAATGAGAAAAGGGAAATTTGACTTGCTCTGAAATAACGAGATCTTCAGCTTGCTTGCAGCTGCCACATCCTGTTAACTATTTTGGTTTTATGACACACTTCCCCTTATAGAATTTCTAAATGAAAAAGCTCAGTTATTTTTAGAGTAATTAAAGTGAATGAAAATTAATTTTGTTTTGAAAATTTCAGAATGTTGGTGACAAAACATCTTGAGACTTTGTAAAAATGGAGTTGAGAATCACTTCTTTAAATACTGGATACCAAACTCATCCTTATTTTAAAGGAACTCAAAGATCTGTAAAAATAATCATTTGTATTATGCGTGGAAGAAGTAGAGATCAATGGTAGAACAGTATAAGGCAGTGGAAAGAATACTGTACTTGGAATTTACATTCTAAGCTTGGGCAAATAAACAGGTTGACCTGTTTACCTCTATAAACTTAGCAGTAAAACAGGGTTAATAACTAACCTGCTTATCTCATGAGATTATAATCTTTTAAAAAGCACAACATTTACCGATACTGTTCTAAGTATATTGTAAGCATCATTTAATTTCATGTTCGCAATAACTGAAACTTGAGGGTTGAGTAATCTGCTTGTGGTCAGAGAGTCAATAAGTAAGACTAGTAGAAAAGTCTGGATTTGAACTCCAGCATTCTTTTTTATTTTTTATTTTTTTGAGAGAGAGAGAGGGAGAGAGAGGAGAGAGAGGGAGAGGGAGGGAGGGAGGGAGGGAGGGAGAGAGAGGGAGAGAGAGAGAGAGAGAGAGAGAGAGAGAATTTTAATATTTATATTTTAGTTTTTGGCAGACACAACATTTTTGTTTGTATGTGGTGCTGAGGATTGAACTCGGGCCACACGCATGCCAGGCGAGCGCACTACTGCTTGAGCCACATCCCCAGCCCATGAACCCCAGCATTCTGGCTCCAGAACTGGTGGGATTTTGTTTTGTTTTGTTGTGTGTGTATGTGTGTGTGTGTTTTCTATTTCCACAGACTTTTTCTTCATCAAAAGGGGGATGATAAAGTTGGCTACTGCAGGTCAACAAACATTTTAATAGTAAGTATTTGAATAGTGATAAAACAGCAAGGTGTTTAGGATACAGAAACCAATAACACCTGAAAATGCATCTCTTTTTGGCTTTCATGTGAGGCAACTGTCAGGAGTACATACCTATTTGAGTGACTTGGTTACTCATGGCTAGTGTACATTCTAATTTTTTGAGACCCGTGTCACACTATTTAAAGAATTTGAATCTCACATTGTCCAATTAAGTTCACTTTTTAAAGGGTTAATTCCACTCAAGTTGCTTTATAAAAACAGGTTGACCTAATTTTGATTTTTAAAATGAAACAAGCATTTTTATGTGTATCAAGCACTCTGCAAATGCTTTTATTAAAGATATATTCAATCCACTGTACTCTTACAACTGTTTCCAATGCATAAATGAGGCAACTGAAGCTCAAAGAGTTGGTTGTCACTTTCCTAAGATCATAAAAAACTGTTGGTGGCCAAGATGGCTTTTTGTTTTCTGTGGTGCTGGGGCTCACCTGTATTAAAAAATGGTTTTTTTTTTGCTTGTTTGTTTTTAATATTTTTTTAGTTGTAGAGGGACACACACAATATCTTTGTTTATTAATTTATTTTTTATGTGGTGCTGAGGATCAAACCAGTGCCTCACACATGCTAGGCAAGCACTCTGCCATTGAACTACACCCCCAGCCCCAAAGATGGGGTTTTGATTCTAAGTCTTCTGACCAGAAGACCCTGACTCCACCCACAACCCATCACTGAGTTAAATTTGGAACAGTGATAGAACATTTTTAAAGAACTTAGCCTCAGGCACAGGGAGTGTAGCCAAGTGGTACAGTGCTTCTCAAGATTCTGGGTTCCATCTCTAGCACCACAAAAAAATACTATAATTAATTATGTATTGAAGAGCTATGGGTGTAACTTAAGATTTTTGCTAAGAGAACTAGAAGAGGAAGGAAAACACACCAGTGATGCATTTCTGTGATGAATAAAGTGTCAATCAGTCTTGGGTTTTACCATATACTGAAATCACAGCCAAGATGAGCCACGCAGTCCATTCAGGGAGGTACTTGATAAATACCAGAGCCATGAGGGCACTGATCATAATGAGATATGCCTGCTGCAGTCGAAGTGGACCTTTCCAGTGAATGGAAATCATTCCCACCACACCAAAATTCCAGATTAGGAGTGCAACTGTAATGTAGTCCACAGCAACATTATAGGTTTTAAACACTTCCCTGAAAAAAAAAAAAAAAGATTTAAAAGAAAAATTATGTACGATAATTCTCACCAAGACTGTGTGTGTGTGTGTTGATGCTGAGGATATATGCTTAGTGAGCACTCTACACTGAGCAACATTCCCAGTTCTTTTTATTTTGAAACAGGATCTTGCCAAGTTACCCAGGCCAGCCTCAAACTTGTGATTCTCCTACCTCAGACTCCTGAGTGACTGGAATTACAGGCGTGCTACACCATGCTGGGCCAAGACAAGATTTAGAACTCTAAACCTTGGGATATTCAAACCCCACCTTCATATTTTTACATGGCCTACATTTACTATGCTATTATTTATCTAACATGTTTCTTTAGATTCACTTTTTATTCACATGGAGCTTATTTTAACAGGAAACTATTACTCATATAAATGGGAAACCAGTATCACAGGTTACAATTATAAAAATAAGTACAAAACTATATCACCTAAAATGCCATATTACTTTTTGGTAAATCTTGGCTGGAGCCTGTGCCTAGTTCCTCAGGGATCCCTTTGGATTGTTCTCCCTGTGGTCCTGGAGCAGGCCTGGACTCTGCTTTATTTTTAAGTTTTACTTCATGGATGTACAATAATTTATTTAACCACTTTTTGTGTTGTTGTTGGGCAATCAGACAAATTTATTCTTTTGCTTTCAGAAACAATGCTTAATTATTATTCCTATAAATACTGAGCTTAGGACATATGCATTTAAAATGTTAATAGCTATGCAAAACTGCTATTAGGCATTACTTGCATTTTTTTCAGCTTAGAATATTATGTAGCTGTTTAATCCTTGTTAATTTAATGTGTATCTTTAGCATTAATCTTACAAGTAAGATATGCATATTTTCATATATTTAAGATAATTTATGCTTTTCTTTATTATCTTTTTGTGTTCTTTCTTATCCATTGGCCCTTGTTTTTTTCGGATAGGCTGTTGGTCTTATTGCCATGTGGAGGTTTTTTATATATAGTCTTTGTATATGAAATAAGGAGAAAATGTTTAGCAGTTTGTTATTCATTCTGTGATTTTAGACATTTTAGATTTTAACATTCATGATGTTAGACTTTCATCCATTCCAAATTTTTTCCCTAGATCGCTACTCAATTATCCTCATACCAATTACTAAATAATCCATCTATAATCACCAGATGTTATGCCACCTATTTCATAAACTAGGTTCTGTTATATGTCTGCGCATTTTTCTAGACTTTTTAATGATATCTAATCATGGTGCACCTATCACTGTTAATACAGTTTAGTAATTTCATATTCGGTAGGCCTAGGACTCCTTCCCTTTTCTGTGGATAGCCTCATTTATTTATTTTTCCAAATAAAATTTTTCTAGGAGGTGACTTTATTTATTTTTATATGGTGCTGAGGATTGAACCCAAGGCCTTGCACGTGCAAGGCGAATGCTCTGCCGCTGAGCCATAACCCCAGCCCCTCCAAATAAACTTTAGAATTACCCTGTCCAGATTAAAAATAAATCCTAGCCAGGTGTAGTGGTGCATGCCTGTGATCCCAGCAGCTCAGGAGGCTGACCCACAAGGATTTCAAGTTCAGAGCTAGCCTCAGCAACTTAACAAGACCCTATCTCAAAATTTAAAAAATTTAAAAGGGGCTGGGATGCAATTCAATGACTAAGTGCCTCTGGGTTCAATCCAGAGGGTTTAAAAAAAAAAAAAACTCGAATTTTTAAATGCTTATTGGTAAATCCCAAATAAATTACTTATAATATTGACTTTTTTAAAGGTAGCCACAAATTTAATAATGTTAGCCCTATTTCGTATTTTATTTAGAGACGAGGTCTGAGTTGTTTAGTGCCTTGCTTTTGCTGAGGCTGGCTTTGAATTTGCCATCCCCCTCCCTCAGTCTCCCAAGCCACTGGGACTACAAGCGTGTGCCTAGCATACATTCTTAAAATCTATTTTTAACATTGCAATTTACAGATTTCTACTAGAAGAATATAAGTCTTGAAAAAAGTTTAGAATTAACCGCAGTTGTGAGTTCTTTCATTTATTACAAGCAAGAAACAAAAATGAATATCCCTACTTTTTTTTTTAACATCTGAAAACTTTTTTGGCTTTATTTTAGTCATGAAGTCACATTTTACTTACATTATTTCCAACATTGTTGGAAATGCTGACTCATAGTCTTTGAATCATTTTCTCTGCCAATTTCAGTTGTTCATAATTAATGCATCATATGCCAATTAGTATACAATGGTCCATATGATATGGAATATCCCTACTAATGATAATATTCTGTTTCTTATATGCCAAGTATGATTTAAGAGTAATTCATTCTCAAGGTACATGGCTTTAAGGACAGTTATGGAGTCCAAACAATTAATGTCTAAAAAAGAGACTAAAAATTTCATCACTTACCCCAGATAAATGAATGAAAAAAAGAACAGCAACAATAGAGATGAAATGATAAGCCAGGCATGGATGACCTAGAAAGGAAAGCATTCCAATATGATCAGCAGATCCTATAATCCTTAAACAATGCAAATTTCTTACATCAGAAACAAGGAATATGTAAACTGGGCATGGTGGTACAACTGAAATCCCAGCTACTCAGGACACTGAGGCAGGGGGATCACAAGTTTGAGGCAAATCTCAGCAACTTAGGTGAGACCTGTCTCCAAACTGAAACAGGATAGAGACGAAGCTCATTGGTAGAACACCTGCCCAGTATGTGTGAGGCCCTATGTTCCATCTCCAGTACTGCAAAGAACAAAAACAAACAAAAAACAGTATATGTGTAGATGTTCTGCTCCCCTATTTGTAGTACTCAGAATGGAACTCAGGGCCTGGCACATGCAGGGCAAGCCCTCCACGACATAACCGTCTCTAGTCCTAGTCCAGGTTCTTCTTCTTTTTTTTTTTTTTTTTTTTTGGTACCAGGGATGGACCCAGGAATGCTTAACCACTGAGTTCCCAATATTCTCAAACTTTTTTATTTTGAGATAGGGTCTCACTAAGTTGCTGAGGTTGGCTTTGAACTTTCGAGCCTCCTGCCTCAGCCAATCAAGCCACTGGGATTATTGGCATGTGCCACCACACCCAGCTCCATGTTCTGCTTTTTAAAGGGGAGAACACAAAAATGGCTTTGGGATCAATGCATATTAACATGGAATTTGGGGGGGTGCTGAATTAGTCATAATATAAAATAGAAACAAGACATATAAATTTTAGAAATTGGGCTGGGGCTGTGGCTCAGTGGTAGAGGGCTTGCCTAGCACGTGTGAGGACCTGGGTTCGATCCTCAGCACCACATAAAAGTTAATAAATAAAATAAAGGTACTGCGTACAACCAAAAAATAAATATTTTTTAAAAAAAGAAACAAAAAAAAAGATGACATTTAAACTTTAAAAAGCAATATTTTCAATGGAGGAATTTTATAGTATTTCTGTAATAAGGATAAAAAAATTGAAAATCAGATCTTCAGTTAAGTGATCTGTGTATGTGTATATGTGTGTGTGTGTGTGTGTGTGTGTGTGAGAGTGGGTATGCTAACTTTACAGAGAAAACAGGCCTTCTAAACTACAATCACTTGATAAAAGAATATTCAAAATTTGAAGTTTCAGTAACTACCATAATACTTCTATACTTATTTGACAAGACTCATTAATTTAATAAGTATTATTATTAAAAATTCCAAGTCAGTCAAGCATTATCACACAGAATTCAGACAGCACTCTATACCTATTAGTCAGTATTACTCTCAAACATCTTACTAATATAAGGGATAAAATCAAAATATGATTTTTGCAAACTATTTTACAAAAGAAAGATTTTAAATGGTAATTTCATATAAGAGGTACATCTGGGGAAATGTTATACAATTCAAGAAGTCTGGAGTTTTAAAAAAGAGAATTGAGATATATGTCCACTGATAAGCTGTCAAGTAACTTCCAACCTAAAGTGGAAAAAAAAATTTTTTTTTTTTGGTGGTGCTGGGGAAGGATCTCAGGGCCTCATGTATACTAGGCAAGCACTCTACCATTGAATTACATGTCCCCCCACTAAAGTGAAATTATTTTGAGGTGATTATGCTTTTTATTGGCTTTAACTATTCAAGGGACTTGATTATATAATGGCAGAAGGAGCTTGTACATAACCAATAACTTTTCAAAATCTCTGTCTTAACCAGTACAGATCTAGTCAAACCTTGAGGAAATGAAATAAAATCCCCAAATCAAGAATGCTGTTTTGTTCTTCTTAATTCCTCCCTCTACCACAGATCAATTGTCACAATAATCAATTGTGAGGTATCAAAACCCAGTTGGGGCTGCCAGAGGTAGAGCTCAGTAGCAGATCATGTGCCTAGCATGCATAATACTTTGGGTTCAATCCCTAGCCCTGAAGAAAGAAAAAAAAAAAAAACCCACAAAACAAAAAGCCAAAATCTGTGATAAGACTGTGTTAATTTTCTCTCTGGTTCTGTTTTGATCACCCAAGGACTTTTCAATCAGTAATTGTTAATTCCTTTGAAAAAAAATGATTTCTTAAAAATTCTCACCATATTTTAAACAACTTTATAAAATGATACTTTGGGGAAAGTCCTCACCCCCCACCTATGAAGGTTTCACCTAGAAATTGGTACTTCTTAGACATTTAAATATTCTAAACTTACTACTGAAATACAATAAAGCTATTTCTGATATTCATTCATAAAAAAAATTTCCCTTGCATTTTACTATGAAAACTTCCAAAGACACAGCAAAATTTAAAGAATTTCACAGTGAACACTCATATCCTAGCCTTGATTCTACCACTAGTAATTTGTCATTTGGAAAATTTGCTATTTTCCTCAATTATAACTTATAGTAACATGAACATCCTAGCACACAGTTTTTTAAAAAAATTTTTTAATTTATTCCTTGAGATAAGTGAAAAAGCAAAAATTATTAAAGTGTATAAACTTTTTCTAATTGCTAAGTGTTAATACACATTGCTCAAACTACTTCACAAAAAAGGCTGGATTAATTTTATCAAGTCAATAGGTCAAATATGTTAATTCGATTTTTTTTAACTGGTGAGGAAATACACACATAAATTTATCCAATTACCTAGTTATTAATCATGTATATTTCCCCCACATCTTCTCTGTTCACGTTTTTTTTTTTTTTTTTACTTATTTGGGACGTTTGTAAGTGTTCTTTATATTGTAACAGTATCAGCCCTTTTACTATAATAATGGTAAACAGCTTTCCTACTTAGGTTGGTGATTTATGTTATGATTTTCTGAATTATTACCTGAATTCAAAGCTTCTTCAAATGATGACTAAATAGCACCCTCCTTTTCTAGAACATCTGGTAGTAAACAGACCCTTCTCATCTTGCAAAGATCCCTAGGTCAGCTTCCCTGTGCTAAAGGCTCTGAAAGACAAGAGCCCTATTTCAGTGTATAACAGTGCATACCTCTTCTGAACCCTGAACTATCCAAGCCAGAAATCATGTAACTAATAAGTTAGAGCTCCATCTATAACAAATGGTGTATAATAATTAACTACATTTTCTATTTCTACCTTTGTAAGGCTTGTTTGGTCTTATTTAGCATTGCACAATCAACCTCTGATATGAGAAATCCTTAGGGTTTATTTCCAAACAGGTCCTGGCAAGCTTCTGAATTTCTGACTCAAAAGCTCCTTTTACATTATATGAGCAGTCAAAGTAAACAATTTCCTTCTATAGAACTGGTTCTGCTTGCTAAGACTTGATCATTAAAAAACAAAACAATACAAATGAGCAAGTGTGGAAATCTGGCTGGATACAAACATTTTAGACTGTCTAAAATTAAGCATAATTAAATTAGGACTACCTACCTTGTCTCTCACACTGACTGCAACTACGAAACTTGGCCTGAAAGCATTGCCACAGCTAGCTGAGGACTAGGAACAGTAAAGAGGCCAGGGGAATTGGAAGCCACAGAGAGTAGAACAGTTTCCACTTTGTCCTTCCAGTACCCCCCTCCTCCTCCACCTGAACTCAACACCAGTTAAGTGGGTATCAGTGAGACGATGGGAGATCCAGAAGTCTAGTTCTGGTCTAAAGAGCAGGAACTGGTATCTTAACACACAGGTTGCTGAGAAAGCTTTCCTTGCCTTTCTTTGTTCTCTCTTGCCCAGCCCCCAATCTTGGGTGGTACAATAGGGGTGACAGAAGGCTAAAATTCTCTCTGATTAAAGGATCCTTAGAATGAGGCAAACAGCTCTTGTTTTATTTCACTTTGATCTCCCATTTCTTGGTCCTGACATTAAGAAATAAGATCCTAGCTTTCTGCTGCAGGAATGGAAGAGGAATTCCAGAGAAACCAGAAACTAACTAAACCAGAAGCTCATGAAAGCAACCTCTAAGCTGTTCATGAACTTGTGGACCCACCTCTATGGTAAGCATGTGTGGATATGATCCTCAAGAGCATTCAGACTTTTGACAACTGAATGGCACACAGGTGGGCCAGATCTGAGAAATACTGCAAAGACTTTGAAAACTGAACTGATTATTGTCACAGGCTACAGATTAGAATTTACAGCCTAATTCAACCAGGTCAGTTTGTTAGGTAGCTGGTTATACATGGGTGAATAGGAAAAGGACAATGACAACTGAAAACCAGCCAAAACCGCCCCAGCCATAATTAATTACATCCCCTTAAGAATAATTGTTATTTCCAGATCAGGCCATACCCTACCAGGTAGTCTGGACCTTCCCCAATCATCCTGTCAACCAAAACATCTCTCAGAAAGAAAGTTTGCTGAGTACTACTCAAAGGGTAATAAACGGATTAAGGAGGTAGGAAAGTAAGGCAAAAACAAGGATACTCAATTTCCTTGAAAACCCCAACTCTGAGCACCAAATCATTCTCTCTTCAAGGCATCAGTGCAGTTCCTTCATTGTATGTCACCCTCACTTCTCAATCTCTCTGGGACCACTGTGCTGACCCTCCACATGCTTTTAAAGGAACAATTCACCTGCCTGGCTTCAGTCCACAGTATATATTACATTCTTCAGCAGAAAACCTGTTATATGTGGGAGAAATGCAAGGTCAGTTGAGGTCAGCATGGGCCTAGAACTGTCCTATGTAGTGGGCACTTGAAAGTCTGATGTTATCCTGCTGTCAGTCAAAAGGCAAGAGGTGGACCTGGGAGGGACTCTCTGGAAACTTCCCTGGGACTCCCAATAAAACTGGAAGGCAGGAAGGGTATGCAGTCCTCCTCTCTGAGAGCATCTACTCTCCTCCTTGAGAATGTCCCCTTTTTCTAATTCTTCTGATAAAATCATGACTGCTACTCAGAGCAACCCATGTCTGAAATCTTTCTGGCATGACTGCAAGAACCGGTAAAGAGAGGATCTCTGTGGCTACTTCAGCTTTGCAGCAGGCTCTGGCAAACTGGCCCACAAAACAAAAATACCAATATTCTCTTAGGGTTTAAACAAGACCAGAGTTTG